CAGTCTCCTGGTTCTGTGGTTGCCATTTCTCTGCTGCTGCCTCTCACCATCTGTGCTGTCTCCACTGTTACAGCTCTCCTTGTTTCCTTCTGAACCCTCACCAGAATTGCCTTTGATGTCCTTAATTCTACCAATAGAGTCCTCAAGGCACCTTAAAATTCTTCCAGTTTCTACCCATTGCACAATTCCAAAACTGCCCCCACAGTTTAGGTATCTGTTAGAGCAGCACCCCACTCTCCTTGCACCCAATTCTGTCTTTGTTATCTAGTGCTGTTGTAGAAATACAACAAGTGGATGGCTTTAACACACAGAAATCTATTCTCACAGTTCAAGAGACTAAAAGTCCGAGTTCAGGGTGCCAGCTCTAGGGGAAGAGTTTCTGTCACCTCTGGGAGAAGGTCCTTGTCTCCTTTCAACATCTGTGGGCTTGGTATTCTTTAGAGTGCTCCATGTGTCTCGGCATCAGTCTTCCCCTAAGTCTAGGAGGTTCTCAGCACAGGAATTCTGGGTCCGAAGGGTGCACTCTGCTCCTGCTCCTAGCTCTTCTTTCTTGATGGCACTGAGAGCCCTCCTTCTCTGCTCACTTCTCTCTCCTTTTATCTCTTGTAAGATAAAAGATGATGCAAGCCATATCCCAGGGAAACTCTCCTTACATCAGATCAGGGCTGTGACCTGAGTAAGGGTATTGCATCCCACTCTAATCTTCTTACAACTGATTGACTGATCACATCAGATCACATTATGGGGGATGATTGTATCATTACATAACTGCTGAGCCACTGAAAGTCACAGCCCAGCCAAGATGACGTATGTTTTGTGGGGACATCATTCAATCCATGACAAGCAACTTCCCTCCACCTGATATCTTAGGGATAAGGACCCTTCCAAATTATAGCTCTGTCACCTCTTAGGGTTGTATCTTTCTCTAAATCCAGATAGTAGAAAAGGAACAAGAGAGTGTGAAGAAAGTACTCTCACTTCTAAATGTCTTGACCTGGAATCAACACACATGGCCATTCATAGTCCACTGGCAAAAATCAAGATGCAAGGAGGGCTGGAATGTTAGTCCCTGGCTGGGCAACCATGTCTGTGAGATAAGCCAGAAGATACAGGTCCTAGAACAAGACCTGAAACTTTGGCCAAGTCATGTAGCATCTAGGGCCTCAGTTTCCTTATCCTCCTGCAAACAAAGCAATCTATGTCTTCTTTATTGACCTTGGGGAGGGTTAACAAAAGAATGGATGTGAAAGCCATTTGTAATTCTGTAAACACATGAAGGGATGAGCTACATTTTCATCAGTGACATAATGAGGAAATACAGGAAAAGGTCAGAAGTTTAGGGAATAGGGCTGGGCGTTGGATTGGGAGAGTGAAGCAGAGATCAACACCTTGGAAGGCCAAGGACCAAGGGGTTAAGGGTCAGTGAGAAGAGGTCTGGAACATCAGAAAGCTGAGTGTGATAAGAACTTGGGTCCTTCAGGGCTTGGGCAGAGTCAGAGTCATCCTGAGACCACAGTAACCCAGAGCTTAGGGACAAGCTAGCAAAGCCAAGATAGCCTGGCAAAGAGGATAGCCATCCAAAGCTAGGGCTGAACTCAGCCTTCTTGGACCACCTTGGACAAACATTTTCCAACCTTTGTTTTTTGGAACAAAGAGAACCTGAGTAACTCCTGATGTTTCACAGAGCAGAGTTTGCAAATCCCTGGTCCAGCCTCATTATTTTAATGAGAGGATAATAGACTCGTAGAGAAGAGATGTGATTAACTGAAGATCAGTTGTCTAGCTGGGACTGGAACTCAGGTTTTCTGGTTCCCAGTCCTGTATCTTAGCTTCTCAAAGTGGCAGAAAAGAACAGAGTCAAGGTGTACTTCAAGGATGTAATTTCACAGGTGAGAAGAGCCCTACTCTGATAATACCACCCTCTACTATCTGAATGCCTGAGATCTCCCCCTTTACAGATTCTAATAGTCTCAAAATCAGAAAAGTCATCTCGTCCACTTTCTTCTCATCTCCTGAGGGCCTGCTAAACACTCCGATGACAGAGAACACACCACTGGCTTGTTCCATGTCAGGAGCTTTTGTTTTACCAATTGTCCCAGCACTATCCTTGGTCACACAAACTCGGGTCTGCTGTCCAAGGGCAGCCTTTGAATAATGGAGGATGGCTTCCAGCCGCTTTCCCTTCCCCAGTGTGATTTTCCAGATGGTATCTCCCACTGTTGGTTTTCCAACATTTCTTCCTTCACTTCCTGGGCGCACCACTCCATTTGGACATCCTCCATTTGGTCTTCTCCTGGAAGTGTTACCTAGCACAGTGCATCATGCTCTGGGGGTGGAGTTATTAAAGCAGGTGGACCCCACCTTCATCCTAGGTGCCATAGCTCCACCCATGCATCCCTAGATCCCGACGGTTGTTCAGCCTTTGCACCCTACAGGCTCAAATTGAACCTAGTTGACTAAAACCCCACTAATTTACATGTGGCTGGGCCCAGCCCCGCCCTTTCCACACCATACACACTGGCCTTCTGTCTTTCATTTAAAGATATACCCAAGGGCAGGGTCTCACATTCCTTGCCAGGAAATCTTGCCTTATTATAATCAGTCCACAATTCCCAGCAGCTCAGATCCTCCTGAATTCTAGTTCCATTTCCCCAGTGTAACAACATCCCCCAGCCCCACCAGCTTCCTGCTCCTGTCCTCTGCCTTTCTTTCCTGTCCTCTGCCTCTGTTCAAGTCACTGAGGCCGCCTTCCCCAAGCTCTTGTTACTCATTGGCCTCATAAGCCCTCCCACCCATGAGATCCGTAGGGAGATCAGAACGACATGGAATATGCTTATGCTAGAATGTTAAATGGCCAAAGCAGGGGACCAATGATGTTCGAAATACATGGAGAAAAGGAAGAAGGCTGTGATGAAGTTATCAGTGGTGGCATCTCTAACCAGACGACTGTACAGCTGATCTTTCTTCTCCTGCTTTAATTCTGCTTTTCATCCAACAAATACTTAATGGACACCGTGTGTGTGTGTGTGTCTGTGTGTGTGTGCACGTGCACGCGCTTTCCAAATGTTCTATGCTGCGTGTGTGTTATGTGGTGAACCAGAAAAAATAAAATTAAAAGGAAAAAAGAATCTTTCCCTGGACCTTGGGAAAGGGCACTCGGGCCCTCCTCACGCGACAGGAACTGTTCTGGCTTCCATCCGCATTGCCCTCCTGCCCATAGGGCCCCCTATGAGCGAACCCTTGGTTCAAGAAGAACCGTGCACCTGGGTAAGAACCAGCAGGACCTCAAGGGGGTGGTAGGGAGTAGAGGGCTTTCCTGGGTTTGCAGCTTCCAGTCCCACGCACCTTTCCCTCAGGTGTTCCGGTCGAAGGGAACGCGTTTAAGGCCGGTTTCCTGCCAGCAAATTTTGGAAAAGACCACCACCACCACCACGCCCCAGATGGTGAGGGAAAGGCCCAGCCAGGAGAATGACCCACTGAGCCCACTTCCCAAGGCCGGCCTACGGAAGGAGACCCGGAGGTGCTCCGTAGGCTGTCGGTAGGCTGTCGGGGAAGGCCCCTGAGGCGTCACCTCGCCCCGCGAGGTGCGTCTTCCCGTTCTGGCCCGGGCTTACCCTCCTCTGACCAGCAGAGGGCGCGCGCCACCCGCGAGAAGCAGGGTGCAGCCAGAGGTCGCACTGGTGAACTGTCAAGACCGAGCTGGGACAGGAGTCCTACCTATGAAAATCAGGCAGATTCAGAGCAAAAGTAGCGCTGGAGATACTAGAGGGAGGGGTTAGGTTGTGAGTGAGAGCGAGAGAGTTGAATGAAGGCGAGAAGGGGGTGAATGAAGGTTGATGTGGGGTGAATATTAGGCAAGGTGTGATGGATATTGGGATGTGGCGAGGGACAGGTGGAAGGACAGGTGAGACGGTGTGAAGGCGGGATGCAACGTTGGGACGCTGTTGAGACTGGTGGGGTGAGGGACGAGTAACAATCTGGGTGAGGAGGGCGTGGGCCTCGCTCCTGGAGAGGCCGAAACTGAGCCCACCCACCGGGGACTCTTCGCTCCTGTCTAGCAGCACCCAAGCCTGCTTCACCCTCATTCTCTCCAGCTCTTCCTTGGCGAGTCTCCTCAGGCCTGGCCTGAGCCTCTCCCTCCCTCCCCACCCCTCCTCCCCAAAAGTTCAGGTGCCGAGAAGAACAGAGAGAGGAGGCAGTGGAGAGCTCCAGAGCTTTAATAGAGGCGGGAAGGACATAGACACTGGGAGACGCCCCACGAGAGGTTGACTCCAGAGGAAGCCCCCTCCAAAAAAGCCACCTAGACGTGTTGGGGGTAGGGTGGGCAGAGGCCCTTACCAAGCCTGATGTGGCCCCGGGAGGAGAAGCGCTGGGGTCAGGGCAGCTCGTGGGAGAGGGAAAAGATGAGGAAAACTCTGGAATTCGAGAGACAAGAGTAGGCCTGGAGGGGGTTTCTAGAGCCACAGGCGGAAGTGTAGCCGGGGTGGAGGGAAAGACGGGGGCCAGGGAAAACACTCGGGGATGTGGGGACCCGGAAGAGGGTGGAGGTTGAAGCGAGCCTGAGAGGCCACAGTCGCCCCGCAGAGCCCGTTTTGGGGAGTGTTTACGAGTGTTACAGATTAGAACTGCTCCACACGGTCATCCTGTCTGTAATCTTGGTGAAAACAGATCGCCAGGCCTTCTCTTCCCCTGAGCCACTGGGTGGGCTCCGCGGTAAACGGCTTGCGCCAGCCAGGCTCCAGCCAACCCCTTGCCATCGAGTCATTCTGACTCACGGTGACCCCATTTGAGACGGGTGCAAACTTAGAGTTAAAGAAAAGTTGAGGAAGGCGTCAGGGCCTTCCTTCCGGGCTGGGTGCAGGGCGCAGCGGGGAGAGTAAAATACAGGATTAAAGGAGCGCCGGGGGGAGCCTCCGGGCCCTCCTTTCTCCGGGACAAGGATGGGATTGGGCGAGGCCCCTGGCATCCGGGAGACCCTGCGCTGCACCTGACCGCCGCGTCTAGTGGTAATGACCTCCCAAGTGCGAGGCGGCGGCCACGGCCCCAAAGGGCCCAGGCGGGGGCTGCAAACCCGGGCTGGGGTAGAGCGCGGCGGTGGCGGCGGCGGTGGCGGCAGGGCCTGGGCCGGGCCAGTAAGAGAAGCCGGCGGGCGCGACGCCGGCCGAGGCGGCCATGAGGTTGAGTTTGGAAAGGCCAGGGAAGGGCAGCGGGGCGA